ACTCTGCCTCAAAAAAAAAAACAAAAAACAAACAAAAAAAAACCACTAAACATCGTGAGCGTCAAATTCAGCGTCGTGTGTCAGCAACCGTGTCGTGCTGTGTGTTTCTCAGGCGATGAATGACCGCTACTGCCAGTTTGAAGCCATCTCCTTGTGTGAGGTGACCAACTACAGCGTCACGGCGGCCAGCCCGCCCTTCTCGGCCTGGATCCTCTTCCCGGAGGACGGTGAGAGCAAAGGCCAGGGTCTCTGCATCCCTCCTCCCTCCTCCCTCCTCCCTGCTCCCTCCTTCCTTCCTCCTCCCTCCTCCCTCCGTCCTCCTCCCTGCTCCCTCCTCCCTCTCTCCTCCCCTCCCTCCCTCTCCTCCTTCCTCCCTTTCTCCCTCCTCCCTCTCTCCTCCCCCTCCCTTCCTTCCTTCCTCGTCCCTCCTCCCTCCTTCCTTGCTCCTCCCTCTCTGCTCCCCCTCCCTCCCTCTCTTCCTTCCTCCCTTCCTCCTCCCTCCTCCCTCCGTCCTCCCTCCCTCCCTTCCTCCTTTCCTTCCTTCCTTCCTTCCTTCCTTCCTTTCTTTCTTTCCTTCCTTCCCTCCTTCCCTGTTTCTTTCTGTCTTCAAATGGAGTCTTGCTCTGTGGCCAGGCTGGAGTGCAGTGGTGTGATCTCAGCTCACCGCAACCTCCTCCTCCCGGGTTCAAGCGATCCTCCTGCCTCAGCCTCCCGAGTAGCTGGGATGACAGGCACCCGCCACCATGCCCGGCTAATTTTTGTATTTTTAGTAGAGACGGGGTTTCACCATCTTGGTCAGGCTGGTCTTGAACTCCTGACCTCAGGATCCACCCACCTCAGGTTCCCAACGTGCTGGGATTGCAGCCGTGAGCCACCGCGCAGGGCTGAGAGTTTGTTTCAAGGAATCAATTATCCACCTAAGTTAGGAGGAGATCCTGATAGAAATCTAGATGTTTCTATGCTTTGCTCTTGCTTATCCAAGTGAGGTTGTTGACCTTGATAAGTACTCATGATTCTTACAGTTTATAAATAGTCATTTCCTCCGAGTTCTCTAGGTGGCCGATGACAGATAACCCGTTGAGAAAGATCTGATGTAGGTTTCTAGCTTTGGGTGACTCGCCTAGTGTTAAAAGAATATTGCCTTTTCCATCTTGCTACGAGTCATTCATGAACTATAATGAGCCCTGTGATGGCCAAGGGAGACCTCCTTAGGCCGGGCACGGTGCCTCACGCCTGGAATCCCAGCACTTTGGGAGCCCAGGGTGGACGGATCATGAGGTCAGGGGTTCGAGACCAGCCTGGTCAACGTGGTGAAACCCCATTGCTACCAAAAATACAAAAATGGGCCAGGTGTCATGGTGGGCACCGGTCATCCCAGCTACTCGGGAGGCTGAGGCAGGAAAATCGCTTGAACCCGGGAGGCGGAGGTTGCCTTGAGCCGTGATCACACCACTGCACTCCAGCCTGGGTGGCAGAGCGAGATTCCATCTCAAAAAAGAAAAATGAAAGAGACAGAGAAAGCTCCTTCTACCCTGACACTGTGGTGTTCATATGTTGATATGTTCATATGTTCATATGTTCATTACACTGCACTGTGCATGTGAAGGTATGTATGCTGCTTTTCCAGGAATGGCAGAATTGCTCAGTCTGGGAGTTACGTAAGGAAATGAATACCTCGGTGTGATGGTCACGCCTCATATTGAAAAGTACATTCTCTGGCCGGGCGCAGTGGCTCACCGGGTATTGGGTAACTCCACGGGCAAAAAAAAAACAGTACCCATTACCATGGTTTTTTTTGTTTTTGTTTTTGAGATGGAGTGTTATTCTATCGTCCAGGCTGGAGTGCAGTGGTGTGATCGCAGCTCACTGCAGCCTCCACCTCTCGGGTTCAAGGGATTCTCTTGTCTCAGCCTCCTGAGTAGCTGGTCTTGAACTCCTGACCTCCAGTGACCCGCCCGCCCGCCTCCTGGCTAATTTTTGTATTTTTAGTAGAGACGGGGTTTCACCGTGTTGGTCAGGCTGGTCTCGAACTCCTGACCTCCAGTGACCCACCCATCTCGGCCTCCCAAAGTGCTGTGATAACACACATGAGCCACCACCCCCGCTAATTTTTGTATTTTTGGTACAGACGGGGTTTCACCGTGTTGGTCAGGCTGGTCTCAAACTCCTGACCTCCAATGATCCGCCCACCTCGGCCTCCCAAAGTGCTGGGATAACAGGCATGAGCCACCACTCCCGGCTAATTTTTGTATTTTTGGTAGAGATGGGGTTTCACCGTGTTGACCAGGCTGGTTTCGAACTCCTGACCTCCAGTATCCACCCGCGTCGGCCTCCCAAAGTGCTGGGATGACAGGCCTGAGCCACCGCCCGGTGTACAATGCTGTTTTCACATTCCTGTGGATGGTGTCTGGTTTCTAACGGAAAACTTTCACCGTTTCAGTGACGAATCCACCCATCAAGAACCTAAGGATGGAAGCCAAAACTCAGACGTTGACCTGGGATGTCGATGGGAATGTCACCGGAATTAGGTGCAAGAAAGGTCCAGACTATGGAATAGATGTAAATCGTATTTTCTCTCTCTTCTTTTTTTTTTTTTTTTTTGAGATGGGGTCTTGCTACGTTGGCCAGGCTGGAGTGCAGTGGCTGTTCACAGGCATGGTCCCAGTACGGACCAGCACGGGAGTTGTGACCTGTTCCGTTTCCTTTGTGACCCAGCACCGTGAGTCACCGTCTCAGTAAAAAGAAACAGGCCAGATCGGTGCCTCACGCCTGTCACACCAGCGCTGCGGCAGCTGCATCGCGAGGCCGGGAGTTCAAGACTCGGCCCGGCCGAGATGGTGAAACCCCGCGTCTACTAAAAATGCGGAAATTAGCGGGGCGTGGTGAGGGACGCCCGCCACCCCAGGGCTTTGGGAGGCTGAGGCGGGTGGATCACCTGAGGCCAGGAGTTCGAGACCAGCCTGGCCCACATGGTGAAACCCTGCCCCTACCCAAAACGATTTTAAAAATTAGCAAGGCGTGGTGGCAGGTGCCTGTGATCCCAGTTATTCAGGAGGCTGAGGCAGGACAATCGCTTGAACCCGGGAGGCGGCGGTTGCACTGAGCCGAGGTCGCACCACTGCACTCCAGCCTGGGCCACAGAGCAAGACTCTGCCTCAAAAAAAAAAACAAAAAACAAACAAAAAAAAACCACTAAACATCGTGAGCGTCAAATTCAGCGTCGTGTGTCAGCAACCGTGTCGTGCTGTGTGTTTCTCAGGCGATGAATGACCGCTACTGCCAGTTTGAAGCCATCTCCTTGTGTGAGGTGACCAACTACAGCGTCACGGCGGCCAGCCCGCCCT